GTTCTGGAATATGAATTTACAAACCACAAGAAATCTTGATTAGTCGAAAAGCAGAAAAGCCAGTAAAGGAGGTTTACCGGATGTTCTTTAGTAGAACTTCAAAGCGAGGCTTAGGAAAAGCTGATTTTATCGTTTTCAGGCTTTTGGACTGCTGTCGATACTTCCTATGGATTTATATATCCAAGTGCGTACTTATTTGCAGGCTACATTCCAAATGACTTGAAATTGCAGGTTAATTTGTGCGATTCAAGAAACATTTTATCTTTCTAAACAGCTAATTGTGATATTTTGGCGTGTTTAACATTTCTAATTTGCGAATAAAAGGTTTCATATCTTAACAGTCCCACTCTTACATTTGCAATTAAATTAACAATCCATTTTTGTTGAAAACATTTTTTCACTAATCATAAAAAGTAAACTCTTTTAAAGTAGATTTATTAAGAACAGCTGGTTGCATGTTCAAAGTTATGTGTTATAAAAAACAAAATTGAACAGTCTATGAAGTAAACTTAATCACATTCTTTGGGCCTGCAAGTCCTAGAGAACATCTGCTGGAGATAAATCGGGCAAGTTCAATGGATATCAAGAAAGTTTTGAAAACAACCTCTCTGAGATGTTCAATCGGCACCTTTTGAAGATTGAATTAAGAACGAGTTTCCAAAATTCTTGAACGATTTTGATGACACTCAGCAAATTCTTCAAAAGGATTTGTTGAGCATGTCGCAATAAAGTTTTTTATGGATTTGACATCTTTTTCTAAAGTCAAAATGAATGAATTCTACTGAAATTTAAAATTGATTAACTTATATATTCGCTAATTTTTTTGCAATCAACTACTTTCTGTGAATTTGTCTGAATTGCGTTTAAAGATTGGTAAAATAGATTCAAATGACGTCAAAAGGCGTATAAGATTTTTAGGCCGTGGGGTTTCTATTCTAAAATGTGATAATCAGGGGGAAGATTGAAAAATTCCAAGGCACTGCTGCATTAAATTAACAGTTTTTAAGGAAGATAAGAAAACAATACTTGACATTAGAAAATGCAACGAAGGCCTAATTCTCTAAGATTTGATCTGTATTTTCTCATACACAGTCGATAGTAAGCTTTGTGTGGAGATCGGAAATAGCTTTCAAGCACGCTCTCAGTCGAACGATGCGCTTGCATGATCGCTGTGGAGGATAACACGATATTTTGGCGCATATTCACTGAAAAGCAAGAGAAACATCTAGAAAACATAAACGGGGTGAGCTGGGCCAGCTGATTTTGCCGATACTGGAAATATGAGGAACATTTCCATTCAGGAAAAGAAAAACAGTATACGTTTTTAATAAAAATCACTTTATAGACACATTTTAGGAACTTACACTACTAAAGAAAAAATCACTTAGAGTTTTTAATAATGAATACTTAATCTCTGCAAACAATGGAAATTAGGAGGCAGATTCCATTAATTTGCAATCGATGAGGTTCATCTTATCTCTGTGTTTTTGATTCGCTTCTAGCTATGTATGATATCAAAATTCCAATTAACAATGTTTTTACGCTTCTGTGTAACTTTCAGGGTATTAAAAATACAGTTCAATTTAAGAAATTATTAAGATGCTACAGTTTTCTTGAAACTTTTGATAATGCAATGTCATCAAAAATGAACTAGGCCTGGAGCATGTATCAGGGCCAAGACGGTTTACAGACAGTTCAAATGGCTGTATATTTTTGCAAGGTTTCCAAAAGATTACATCAATTCTTAAGCAATAAAATTAACTCCTAAGAGATATTAATCACTGAAATCGATTTTGATATTTCATAAATGAGCAAATGTTACAAACAACACAGAATCATAAAATTATGCTTAAAAACAATACGTAAAACAATATGTATTATATGTATGAAAAAGTCAATCCAAATAGCTAGAGTTTCCTTTTAGCGCTTTATAGAGGTGTTCCCTAGACATAAAATCAAATCTATATTGAATTTATCTTCAGAAGCTCAGATAGAAAAAATAATTTATAGTCTAGCAGCAATGTCTCCACGTATAAAAATAAGGTTTTTGAAGCTTAAACAATGGGTCTTCTACCAAGCTAAGAAGAAAGACAAATAACTTTACCTTTGTTGAGAACAGCTACCTTTGCTAGGAAAAGTTGCAATTTTCTCATTAAATCATTGATTCTTGAAAATTGTTGGAAAAATTACAGTCTCGAATAATTTTTAAAAACCTACAGGCGATTGAAAAGTCTTATCCTAAAAGCTTTTGCAATTTACTTCATTTTTCTTTCTAGAAACTTTCTAGCTGATGGTCAAATTATTGCCTATCGTAAGCCCTAAGTATGGATTTAAATTCTGGCGTTAAATGGACCTTAGCAGTCCAGTCATTTGCTTTAGCTTTAAGATATGAATGTCATTAGGCTTTAAGTTTGGCATTTATTAATAGGCATCAAACACTTTCTGCATAAGATTTCGAGTTCATGGCCTGGTGAATTCCCTTTCCATTGCATGGCTCACTACCTGTAGTTATTATGAATAAATCCTAACACTTTGCTTCTCGTGATCATCAACTGGTTCAGCACTTTTGACAGTAAGCTCATAGGCATATGTGTCAATGAGCACCTATAATGACTTCTTATTGCTGAAGAGCTGAAGCGATTGGCAGGAACTATGCCGAAGTATGTGTATGAGATACTAATAAATTTTTTTTGATTTGCAAGACACAACCATATTCCTTTTCCAGTAAACCATAAAACGTATAAGAAATTGCTTTATTTCTCTCAACTGACAGACCTATAACTGGACACTTAACAATGTTGCGAAGTTTACGATATTTATGGCTTTAAAGGCACTTAATAACTCCTAGAGAGGAGAAAATGTTACTTTTTGTCTTTTTGCTGCATAATCAAAAATCCAAATAAGGCTGAAGCTTTTTTACATTCGTCAAAAAAATCAAAAAGAACCTCGTTTACCAGGGCGACCTCGCTTAAAAGTTATCTAGAGCATTTTGCGCGGGAATAGGAATGATTCGAGTTGAATTTTCATGAAAACTCTAAAATGCTAGCTTTTTCGTCACAAAAATGTTTTCAGAGATACTGGTTTGTCTTTACTCTTCGAATTTGCAAAATATATGACTGGAACAAATTAACAAATGAAGTCATCAACTCTTCGACAATCCAACAATTGGAGCGAGCCTACGATCGGTTAAAACATTCGGAAAATTCAAGTACACTTGATACAGCCAAGTAATAGATCATAACATGGCTTTATAAGTCTCCGTGACCTTCTCAGCCATTAACTCCTCATATGATTTTATAATTATTATTAAACATACAAAATTGAAATGTAAAATAAAAATACCTTCCAACGAATCCATAACGATATTCTCTTGAAAGAACTCCCAGTAATTTCAAAAAGTTCAGCACAGCTATGAAAGAATATAGGATTGCACCAGCAAACCTCTCATGTAACCACTGCATACCGCCTGATAAAGCAAAGTTTGATAAAGCTTAAGGACAAACACACTTTTATTATAATGCTTTAATTTTATGTGACTTAATGTTCCGATAGTCTTTCAATGTTGTGTCTATGTATTCTAGCCTTAATTTATTCTTATCTTAGTTTTTAACGAGCCATATACAAATAATCTTTTAGGGAATGGAGAATGAAGGAAAATTCGAAGCCTCCAGTGTTTTATGGTTAAAACAAACTCAAAAAATATAGTTATATTTTGCTGTCAAGTTAAAACATTATTGAAAGTTTAAAACAAACACACATTATTGAAGTTTAAAAATTTTGCGAAAAACTTCTATCATATAATTTGTTACCATACCATTATCATTTATACAATGCTTATCTTTTTCTTAGTTGCAATTTAACGAACTCTTACAGATGGGAAAAATCATTTCTTTGACATTTCAATTTGGCGCTTAGTTTCAATCCATCAGTTTTAAATTTTCAGTCAAAAATGTCACTTGATTAGGCTAAGAGAATGTGACGCGAGGCTCTTTTGTTTAATTTTGGATGGCGCTTTCAAATGCTGGGAAACAACAGATAGAAATTCAAAGTACCTTTATTTTCATTTTTGAGAATACTTGAACTTAGCCCCCCGGGGGGAGGGTGGTATTTGCTAAAGATAGTTGAAAGCCAACTTTACTTCTTATGACAAAACATTAGAATTTCCCATCGTGAGACGCTGACAGCAATGAACCACTTTTGATTCAGGAGGTAAAATGCATCTCATTGGGTTCATTGGCCTAAATCTAATCTCTCTACATTATCAGTTTGGTTTTATACCATCTTGCAAGCAAAGGCAAACAGATCGGGGCAGGGGTTCTGTTAATGTAAAAGAAAGAGAAATTTTAGTTACACTGGTTTTACGTATCGTCTCTATGGTATTTTTGTATAGCAAAATCGTTAGCATAGAACATTCAAGAGCATTCTTTTGCGTCCTAATAATTTTACTACATTCACTCAAGAGCAAACATTTAAGAGCAAACACAATTTTTTTGATTTCTACGACATATCTCCGGTAATATGAAAGACTACAGTGAAAATCCATGAACACTAAACGGAAAATATCAAGCATTGAAAAATGAAGAAAAGTCAAACTCTTTTTAGGCAGCAAAAACGATATTACTAGGCAAGATCATAAATATTTTTAGATTGACACATCTTCAAATAGGCTCTAATCCTTAACTCCGCGTGATGAAAGAAAACGTCAAAGCAAGGGACACAAATCCTTAACTTTCTGGATCGAAAAAAAAGAGAAAGAGCGCGTGCAGAAGAAAGTGACCGTTGATAGAACAGCAACAGAAGTTTATGTTTTAAAGGAAGTAAATTAAAAATTGACACATTTATAACCATTTTCATTCTAATAATTAATATTAAGAGAGATCTTACAAATTTTATATGAATTTTTTATCAGTTAAAAATTGCTTTCAACATGCAAAAATTTATATTTTACCGTAAAAGTTTAATGCATATAAAGATTATTTATTTTTATGTGTTTTTGACGACGAATACAAGAACCCATGTACGTCTAATATAATATAAGAAAAAAAACATTTAATATAAGGAAAACCCATGTCCATCTATCAGAATTAGTTAATTGGCCTATCATAGTAATTCAATAGAATATTTAAGAAACGTTGAAGGTACGTAATGGGGGGTGGGGCAAAATTATTAACGTTGCAAAATTACAGGCGAAAGGGGCAAAACAAGGTCTAACGTGACCTCATGGGTAGGGGGTGCTGCAATGTATTGCCTAGCATCTATAATACACTGACTGAAATCAAATTATTTAGAAAGAAAGCTAAGTCTTACATAAACTTATTTCTCTGCATGTTCTGCATCTGTGTAAGAAACATATTTCCTGGCCGTCGTGTCCGTTAATCTCTGCAATACAAACATGAAACGGCGGCTCAAGAAGAGTTTACCATTCTATACATTAAGCTGTTTTGTTTTCAATAAGATGCAAGTCCTTGGCAACCATAGTGGCAGCAATCGTATGATAACGAGACATGTTGTCTTGGAAGGTCTCGATAGCGAGGCCTCTGGACGTCTCTTTCTTGTACATCTCACTGAAACATATGATTTAAAAACTGACTAAAGCTAGAACAGAAAATAATAAATCAACATTGATGAAAAAGAATTTCAGAGGAAAATTCGTATGTACTAAATTATTACAAAATAGCTAAAAAATAGCAAGATTTGCGAACCAGAAAACAAAACAAAATTGAAATGGAAAAGCTAAAATGCAAAAAAATATGCAAAGAAGTTTAATTAATTGTCTGTTTTTTAAAATCTGACAGCAAACCAAGGGGGGAAGGGCTTACTCAAAATGGCACCCTTATTCAAACCTCAGCTCCTAAAAAGTCTATTTTAGTGTCAATATGTTAGTTAGTGGTACCAAATGTGAACAAAATCTATATATATCGATGAGCTCGCAGAAATAAGCGCAATAGGATCTCTGTTACTTGTGTGGCTAAAAAATTGCGAAAAAAACTTGCATGGTTTCCTAGTTTTAACTTCAGAATTTAAAGCCCAACTTTATCAATTTGCGTTAACATCAACTTTAAAACATCATTAAAAAACTTCAAAAATATGTAAATAGGGGACACTTAATGAAAATCTGAGGATAAACTTAATTTTGGAATCATTCAAACTTAATTTTCAAATAACTTAAACTTAATTTTCAAATCATTTTGTATAATTTATTGATATGAACCAAGTATTCAAATGACGAAATCATTTTAAAAATCAATTAAAATAACAAAGATATAGTAAAAAGCAGCTCAAACCAATTGCAAGAAGTAAGAACTAAAATTCATGTCCTTGCCGGAGCAGGAATTTTTAGAAAGAAGTTTTGGACAGCAAAATTCAGAAGTAAAAATGCTGTTATTCAGTTCAAAAAGATCACTTTCTCAATAATACATTTGAAGATTTAAACATGTGTTTGCTCATAGACAATTCAGATATAAGCCATTTTGTAAACGTTGTTTCTTAATTTTCAGATAGGTTGTTGGATATTCTCCATTGTCTCCACCCACCTCTAATTAGTTATCAGTTATTGGTTACAGGAAAAACAAGATCATTACAATTTTATTACACTCATTCATATAAATCTTAATCTATTTAGCCCCTTACCTATAAATTGGTCTTATGTATTTCATTCTCCCTTGCTGTGTGATAAATTTGACTACCTGTGGATACATCTCTTCAAGTTCTGCCCTGACGCACAACCTAAGCCATCTGCAAAGATGAAAAACAAGAGAATCAAAATGGAGGAAAGTCAACAAATAAACAAAAAATCGGATGACTTAATATATGATGATTTAATATATCAGGTGGACACTTGGGGGCGAGGGGGCCACCGCCCCCAATACTTTAGAGGACAATGGTTTGTGTTGTAAAACAATGGGAAATGTGACGTCATCTTATTAAAACAATAGGCTTGCCCCCACCCCCACCCAATATTTGACCAACAAGTGTCTCATTGAACATGACTGTAAATTTGGTTTTTAGATGTAAATGAAGGTCAGTTCATAGACTAGCGCATTTTGTTGGCTTGTTCTATCAAGAAAGAAACCATTTTCCTGATAATTGAATTAACTTTTTGAATAGTTATCGAAACATTTAATTTTTATGATCCAAAAAATTCGTGTTGATATCTTAATGTTCGTATGAAGAAACAGAAGATAATTACCTGAATTTAATTTCGTTGTTTTCCAATGAAGTCAGATTGTATTTTGAATTCATCGCTTTAAGGGTTTCTTTGCTAATGTTTTCCTGTAAAAACATACTAAGTTTAAAACGAGAATCAAAAAAGGCAATCGTCGTAGAAGATACGCTACAATTATTTGAGATATCTGGCAAAAACGAGTATTCAAACACGAAAAAAATGTATATTCTGCTCTATCGCTTCAACAAAAATTCATTAAAACTTCTATTCATATTTTTCTTATATAACGTTTTCTAGCAAAAATTCGTGCCTATCTCTGACATTTTTAAATAATTTATAAATGCAACATTGATTGTCTATATATAAACAGTATAAGGCAGACGAGCAGGCAAAAGTGGATGCAAAAATTATACTAAGGCCAATTCTTGCATTCTAGAAGTTGTGAAAATTTCAGTGAGCGTCTAAACGAACTTTACCAAAACTGGAACTTGAATAATCGGTGAGAAAAACATAATCATGTTGCTATGATTTGAACAAGAAAACGCTGTTTTTGTTTAAAAATACAACCAAAAACTAACCTCAAGCAGAAGTTTCGATAAAAACTCAATTATTTGGTTTGAGCAGAATTCTTGGAGATCATCTGACGAGAATTCTTCAAATGTTTTTGTCTAAAAAAATTCAAACTGGAACATTGAATAGTGATTCAAAAGTAGCGAACTAATCTAAACAAAAACATTTTGACACAGGCGCGAATATTTTCCATAAAATAAATCCATAACTGCGAGGGAACAAAGATATTTCATATGTAGCAAAATGCCTTAAAAGCGGGTTTAAAGACCTCGCAATACGAAATTTTCAATTTCAATAAGAGGCGTGCGTACGCTAGAGCCTTCAAAAGGCTTGCGTGCGCTACAGCTCTTTGCTGCTGGATTACTTCGATAAGAAATCTTTCGCTATCAAAGCAATGGAGATAACTAGAGCATGGGCATGATAGGGCGTTTCTAGGAACAAGCACGTTTACGGTATTGGCAGAATTCAATATCAAATTGTATCAACTGAAATTTGTGAAAAGATAAGACAAACACATAAAAAGATAATGAACAGAAAAGATAAACTGAACTAAAGATAAAGATAAAATTTGCAAAAAGCAAGTGCATATTAGAGATTTATTTTATAACTTGAAGTAGAAAGTTAGACTCCCGATACCTTGTAAAACCACAGAGCAGAGTCACAAGAGAAGGTTCTCCGGTGCTATGATCCAGCGCTTAAAGGTACTCTTCTCGTTGTGGATTGGTTAACGAGAACAATAGCTGGAACAATAGCCTAAACACAATTCCAGCGCTCCGCCATATTTTTTACAATGCGATAAATTAAAGGGGGACTGGAAACAATAAATAATCCCTTTGTTCTTATAATCAATCAACGTCGTGACAGATTGCCTTTAAGGACTTTTTTGAAAACATTAACTAATTCTGGTAGAAATGGCTAACACCACACCCCTCTCCCCTAAAACATGGCTAACACCACACCCCTCTCCCCTATGTTGGCACCAAAGTTGAATACCATAGTTATCTGAAAGGAGTCCATTTGGCCCATTAAACCTTTTAACATGTATAGAGCAACATGTGCTTTGGAATTCCTAAGCTCGAGAAATCCTGGTTTAAACTACACCCCTTCCACCCTATTAAGATGGAAATCGTTAATAAAACAGCTTTAAAACCTAAACATGGATGCAAAAATAAAAGAAAGTAAAAGGAGTATGGGAATAAAGATATTCACATGTTACACTTTCCTGATAAACCGAAGAGCAGGCCATGACCTCCCCCCTCCCTCTACCCCCTCTATAAGAGCTATGAATTGAAAATTCAACCATTGCGGAAACGGCGGTGGAAGAGTGAAATGTATTAAGGCTATCTTTGGGAGAATTATCTTTAGAACCAAAGGTAATTAAGCTGTTGGTTGAAAGCTACCGTAAAAGCTCTATTAAGCCCCCGGGGGCCTAGATTTATTTTCGTCAGTCCTAGAGGGAGGCTTATTAGAGAGGGAGGCTTATTAGAGAGGGGAGGCTTATTAATAATTCAATGTAAAAAAGTTATAAAAATGCCCCTATTCATTTTTGGTATGAAAATGTCATACAAATGTTCTTAAAAACTTTGCACTTAAAATCTTTGTTTGACATCAGGGGCTTAAAAGGAGGGGGGATTAATAGAGAAAAGGGCTTATTTTAAATGTTTTCTTGGTGAGGGAGGGGCTTAATAGAGACGGGAGCTTAAAAGAGAGGAGGCGGCTTAATAGAGCTTTTACGGTAAGCTCACTAAGAGGAAGACAAACCTCTTTGAAAATTAGAAAACCGTTATAGGCACTGAATAGATCATTATCTGAGCCTTCTTGTGAGAGAATGGGCAGCCGAATCAGATCATTATAAATATTCTCCACTGTCTCTTAAGATAGAGTTACATGAAACAATTTTTCTAGCAACTTGTCTTGCAGAAACCACAACCGAGAAATTGTAAGGAATTGAAAGAAGACATTGCTACAATTGAGGCCGAGCAACTGTGTTGAAGATGACATTGGAAGGTCTGAAAACGAAGACGCTAAACTAATACTACAACGCTAATTGCAAAGTTAATGTTGCACTGGCAAGAAAGATACCTGAAATCGTTGCCTGAATAGCACTGAGCTCCACTTCAGGCAACCGTTGCACGGCACAATGACATTGCACGGAAGAATAAAAAAGTGCACGCTACAATGACATTGCACGGTACAATGGCATTGCACGGTACAATGACATTGCACGGTACAATGAAATTGCACGGTACAATGGCATTGCACGGTACAATGACATTGCACGGTACAATGAAATTGCACGGTACAATGAAATTGCACGGTACAATGACATTGCACGGTACAATGGCATTACGCGACAAGTTGAAAGACACATAGCACTGTGTAACATTTGTTTAAGCTGTATTTTACTAGGAATCAAGCGCCCGGAAGCAATATAGAAGTTTTCCTAAGATCCCTTTATAAAGATACTTAATCAAAACATCAATTGATTCAATTACGGCATAGATTTTAAATTGCCTCACATGAATAGAGCTCTAGACCATGAATAGGACAAGCATCGTGATAATAATCGGAGCGTCGTCTCAAGACTTTATACCTAGGCAAGTTAATCAAAGAAACGTTGATTTAAAATTATATCACTTTTCGCCAATCTCCCTCCTACTTTTGTATACCTTCCATTATAAAAATTAGCTTAATTATGAATCTGAGATTGCAATACCTGTAACCATCTGTTTGCCAATTCATTGCATCTATCAATGGCTGTTGTATCATATCTAAATGCGATAAAAATTTATCACGATAAAAATAGTTTAGTCTACACGATAAAGTATAGGATTTCAATAGAGGATTAATTGTAAACCAAAACGTGGTTTCTGCACATATAATCAGACAAAGATATCTTTTTAAGATTTCGAAAGAGAAGAATAATTTAACGTCAAGCTTCGAAACTTGAAAAGAACAGTGCATCAACAGCAGTAAGATGGGCAGTAAAAATAAAAATCGTCCATTCAGAAGTATTTTTTCTGTTAACTGTAAACATTGTTCTAAATGTTAACATAAAAATGATATACTTTCGCAGACAAATTGAGGAGTTCGTTTACTTTTGCTATGATGAAGCCCCGTATGCCGGGGCGAAATATTTGCCATTACTGATTTGTGTGCTTGTTGTTGTTCATTCTCGTCGCTTTGCGGTGTTCCTTATACACTACAATTTTATCGTTTTTTCGCCGCAAGATTTCCTCCGGAGTCCGTCGCGCAGCCTGCTATCGTGGCCTCTCCTTTATTCGCACAGATTGAGTATAGGAACGGGGATATTCTGAACTATCCTAGCCCTATAAACTGTCCTCAGGCAATGTATATCCGGGGACGTACGGAGAGTCAAGGTGTAGAGACGGGTTTCAGACAAAATACAAACATGTAAAGTTTATTCACCAACTTGTTAGGTCCACAATCAGTTACAAAAAGTTTGACTACTTTGTTAAAGCAGCTTTTTGGGACTGTCCCTAGACTCAGCATTGATTTTCAAAAATAATAGATTTTGTGAAGCTCGGTAGAGGCAATTTATTCCCACAACACAACAACGATTGAAATAGGCTTTAGAGTTGTCTGTTCGGGCTTTTCAAAAGTTGTAAACATTAACCGACTTATCAGGTTCGTAAAATGTTTATTTCTGAGTTATCACGAATTTCTGCTGACAACGCATTTTAACCTAGCATCAAATTTCAGAATATCAGGGCGAATCAATTTTTAAACCAAAGACAAAAAAATTTTTTTTGCTTCAATACGTACAGTTTTGATACATCCAATGGAGGCATTCCGGGGTTATGGAACCATAATTTCCAATCCACGCCCGAGAAAAGATCATCTTTACCCTGATAAAAAAATTCCTTTAAATAAAAAACATCTAGTCAACAGTTAACCCTTTAAAAGAGAGGAAGGGCGGGGGGTGGGTTTGACTTCCACAGCAAAAAAGACATCTACATTCGTGGAGTGTCCATGCATTTAATATACAACGTACTTGCTGTCAGTGTCGCGAGGCTAAGTCTGCATCCTTTGCCCCCAACTGTCGCCCCCAATGATTGCCCCCACTGGCTCCCCCTCTGGCTGCCGCCCCCTTGCTAGGACATACCATTATTGAATGAAATGCATTTTAGAGAACAACAGCATACCTTGCTTTTGAAAAAGCTGAATAAATATGACTGGAATTCGTCTGTTGTGATACTCTGGTATTTGAAATGATCAATGTAGCTTCTGAGAAACTCATTAAAAACGTCTGCAATGTAAAAAGCAGTCTCAGAGATAGTACTTATAAAAATAACAGTCACTTTATCTTCAAAACAATCATTTGGAAGAAATAAATAAGAAAGAGTATTCAATGTTTTAGAGAAAACGATAATTGCTAGATTTTATAAAAACTAAAACAGTAATTTGTAAAACCGCATTTAACAAATAAAAAACCTTAATTGGTTAAAACAGTATTTTAGTGTAAAAATGTATTGGTCGGCTTCAACCAAATTTTTGGAGAATTTTCTGAACCAACTTTTTAATACAGTATAAACAATGCAAATATAAACAGGAGAAATTTTATTCAAGGGAAAATTAATAACAATTACTGTTTACCGGCCTGTCATAAATTGCTGGATGCGGTTTAGGCAGAGCTGTGCAGGCTACTCCGTGTTTCACTCTTGAAGCGGTCACCAGGCAAGGTTCAAATTATACAAATATGCATATATTCTAATCGGCAAAGTAACCTTAAATTCCCACGTCCACGAGTAACAGAATAGTATACGTTTCAGGCAAATTGAGAGATTCTCCCACGGTGCTAAATAGAGGTAACAGAATATATCATTTTGCCCCGTCTACATATGTACATATATTTATAATCTGCAAAGTTATCTTAAACTCCCACGTCCACGAGTAGCGAACAAAAACAAACGTCTGCAGATCTAAGATTATCCTTATTCATGTACCAGTGGCCTCAAACTCACCAGGTCCTCCTGACAAATGCTCTAAGTAGTACAGAAAAGCAAAGCCTTTTTCGTAAGGAACAGATGAAAACGCCTCATCGGGATCAATGCCTTCCAGATCTGGTACAAGCGCCGTAAGAGGATTATTTGCCCCAAACTTGTCAATCTGATAAAATAAAGGAGCTGTTATTTTAAGAGCATTTAAACAGACTAGACAACTGTGTATAAGCATGCGTAAAAAAATTGATAAGGATAAAATTGGCAAAGTTTTCTTGGCGACATAGAATCATTTTCCCAAACAGGTCTGAGAAAATATTTCACACAATGTGTAATAATTTAAAAATAAATGAAAAATTTCTTACCGAGTCTATCAATGCTTTCCAGCCACCTAAGACATAAAAAATCCAGTTTTAAGAGCATACTTAGAAAGAGGGAAGAGGAAAGGCCTAAAAAGGGATTTTACAACGGGTCATCGAGTCGAACACTGTAAAATTTCAAATACAGCCCCTCTAATTTATTCCCCCCGAATATGAGCCCCTTATCCCGAATATAAGACCCTCCCCCCCAAAAAACAAGCTCACGGCTCATATCTGGAATTTACCACATTCATTCTTCAACAACAGTACAAGCGATTACCTAGACAAAGTACAAGAACCAACTCTTCAATTCTTCATTTTTTCTTTCGTACATTTCTTAAATTCAGTTTACATTTAATGCTTTAACCTAAAACATTATATTTAGAGGGATTCTCGATGTCTTCTCCTAGTGTCCATGTGCCTTCATAAGCTATCATTCTTGTGATTTTTTTTAAAAATATACCCATCCAACTATAATGGTTGCAGCTTGCAAGTGTCTCCGGAACATGAACGATCATTTAGGCTAATAATGCATTCTACGAAAACTAATAAAGCATTTTCTTCTGAAATAAACTGAATTCCGATTACAGTTCCCTGAAAAAGTCTCAGCCAGGGGCTTATTACCGTTCAAAGGTCGTTTTTTAAGAGGGCTTACATTTAAGGGGGGGGGGACTAAATCATATTCGGAATTTTACGGCACACACATGACGATGATTATGATGATGATGATTCAAAATGATTTATGATCATAGATGTTAATAGTTATGTCAACACTTTTAGCTAGAGTTGAAGAGCCACATTTTAACAAATAATAACGCACAGATAGTAATGGTGGCTGGGCGGAAAGATGGTGGTAGGAAAATATCAAAGAGTACAAACCAATCGCCTGTAGGTTTCTCGACTTCTCTCCTCGCAACTTCCCAATTATCTTTGACTCGACAAATCGAGTGAATCCTTCATTCAGCCTGCAGAATACAAAATAGATCTTATCATGGCTAAAACATAAAAGAATCATTTTATAAGGCTACTTACATATAAAATACACATTGATCATGAAACAGAAAAAATATGCTAAGCAGCAGCTGGTATCACCCAGAGGTCATCAAAACAGAGAGATGGAGAAAGTATTTGATTATGGGTCACAGGCAATAGAAATTCTCTGTGACCCAGAAAACGTAGACCAACTTTCAGAAATGTTTCACGATTGGAGGCAACTTTTTTTGCTCATGAAAAGAGTTGATTAAACCAAAAGCCAATACGCTTATTATATGGCCATTATATAGCAATTATAAGTCTTTAGCTTTAAAGATTATATCGATGTTTTTTATATCACCACAAGTGCATTATGTTAACGTCTTTTAAAAAAGAAGTAAGGCAGCTAGGTTTTTTTAATAAACACTGAGACAACTGGTATACTGTAAGTTCTTTCCTTGTGCATGCTGTAAGTCTGTGGGTCAGAGTCTCGTATCCTTAATGGGGCCACTGGAAGAGGAATATTGTTCTCCTCGAAAGGGCCAGATGTGGAAGAACAGGCTAAGGAATTATTTTTAGGATAATTTATAAATAGACAGAAATAGTTTTGTACGCATGTGTTCCTCTAATCTTGAATCACAACTGACTTGCATTTTAAATACATTTTACTAAAACTCATAGCAAATAAGAATTAAGAGAGATTGACAGATAACATAGATTGCTGGGTATATACATTACACATAGTTTGCTTCGTGGGAAAGTTCAAGTTACAAAGCATGTTAATGGTTGAGAAAATTTAAAATATGAAACCTAACTTACCAAAAATGTTCCCATGTTTTATTTGTGACAAGATTTCCAGTCCAGCTGTGCGCTATTTCGTGGGCAGCAACCTGGGAAAGAGATTTTTGTGAACTCAAAAGAACCATTTAACTAGTGCTGAAAATAACCGTGGCTTTCAAAAGGTACGAAAAACGGTTATAGAGGCAATATTCTTTTAACATTTGAAATCACATATTCACTTACATGTTGCTTTGGTTTAAAATTTAGACGCTAATTGATCAACCGACAGATTAGAAGACGCAAAGAAATAAAAAAAATTGCAGACATGAAAAAGTAAATGACCGATTAAATTTTAGAGACATCTTATTTTAGAGACAAATCAGCACTCTTTTGGTTCACAGCTCCAACTAGATTCAAAAATAGAACTTCGAAAATACACCAGGGGTGAAAAATTGCAACAAACTGCAATGAAATTTTTTGCTTTGGCCTGCTATAATTTCGTGGATAAGACAAAATTTTGTCAAGCATTGTGCCCTGTTTATACGATTTAGAAGCAAAACACTCACTCGCCAATGACAAGACGTTATAGAGAAATCTCAGCCAGTGGGGGGGGGGGGGTATATTTCAATCAAAACGTCAAAAAACCCGTGCTTAAACGTCAAAAAACCCGTATATTCGGGATGGTGAGAAGTGAATAAGAAGTGAAAATTTCAAGTTTGCAATGTGTAGCAGAATTTTTGCCAAGACAAAACAGATTGACAACAATCTTAAAAACGATATCAAGCAAAAAATCCAAAATATCCTAGCAGTTAGCAAATCAAGTGAGTACTAAGCTAGAAGAAATAAAGGATGATAAATGAAACAAGAACATACCCCAGTAAGAGAACGATCTCCTGCCTGCAAAACAATAATAAAGGCATATATAAATATACATACAATAGAATATAGTGACATTAAATATAAATAAATAAATGATTTTGTTTACAATGCGATTGGCTGCTACTAACAGCCGTAAATCAGTCATTTAAAAAGTGGTCTACAGATTGCTGCAGTGGACCGGAGGGGGGGTCACTTGGGGGGTTGATCTGGGGGCTGAATTGCTCATTCCAAAAAGGATTTCTGACCATGCACATGCGAAAGTTGGAAACTGATTCTTCTGGTCGATTCTTCGATCGTCTTCTGGCTGATTCTCCGGTCTCTTGGCAGATTCTCCGGTCTTTTAGTTGATTATCCGATCTCTTGGCCGATTCTCCAGTGTTTTGGCAGATGTTCCGGCCACTTTACAGATTTCAGGGTATGTGTCTATGTTCTATCTAGCGTAATAGTCTATAGCATAGTATATGAAATGGCCCACGACTATGTAATGGTGATATCTTATGCTTAAATGCTGGGAGAATTTCGAGAAAAAATGGACACTACATGCATTAACCAGACATTTACCCAATACTTTTTCGATAATAAGAGCGAAACACGAATTTCATTTGAGACAAAAACTGAAACAAGCAACGCCGAAACAGTGCTTTGTGGAAGCAGATTGAGTCTTCTAAGGTTGCCCGCCGGGAAAAAGGAAACGGGGTTCCCATTCGATAAAGCGCATTTATTACTTCTAATTGGCTTGCGGTTTATATCAAAGAGAGAAATGACTATCTAGCTCTTAAAAATTTCTGGGGGCAATAATATTTTTTACATTAACGGATCCGTGGTCCAATATCCTTTGAAACACATTTTACAGACAAATGGCCTTGAAGACAAAAGACAATGTACTCAAATCTTATCTGAGTTAGCTAATTTTGTGTTTATGTGCTTAATACTGTCAGCTGAAGCTTCTTTGCTTATTTTTACCTTACCCTTTGATTGGTATAGTTAATTTTTGCCTAGCATCCTTAATTGTTATAGCTCATCTTGTCCTAAGCCCTTTAATTGCCATATGAACCTCGTATCGCACCACGATAAAGGAGTTGACAGGCAAAACTACCAGATGAGCATTTAATGTGTAAAAACATAAGCGTGCAGGAAAATATTTAAAATGTTGAAAAATATTTTAGGAAATTTTCAGCACAGTTAACTGATTTCGTTAACTTCGAGGTATTTCACGATGCTTTTTTAGGTTTTGAGGTTCAAAATTAAAAAATTCTTAAAATGGGGTCTAAATTCTTATTAAGGTATTCTCACTCACCAGCAACGTTGGAGTGACAAATGTGAGACACGGATTCTCCATTCCACCATATGGAAAAGACGGTGGCAAGACAAGTAAATCGTACCTTCCCCACACGTAAGGGCCGCAGATGCTCTCTGCAGCACATACCATGCTTTCAAGCTAGAAAAAACAAATTGATACTAGAAAAACCTATAAGAAAATGATGTAGAGCCTTGAACGGCTGGTAAATGAAAGTTTGACTTTTTTAGTTGGTCAACGTTTACTAGATAACAAGATATGTTTTTACTGCATTTCGAATCTTTAATTCACAAATGCCACAATTAGAACCCACTAAAATTGCAAGTTGTAACATTTAAGCACCTCCAATTTAAGCACTATCAAAATGAGACAATCATTTAAGCATCTCCATGAAATCTGTCTTAACATTCCTTGAAGGGTCTTGATATCTAGATATTCTGTGGTTACTTGTTAAAAGATTGACTGCCAACATTTATACAAATGGCTCTCAAAAAGGGGGGACACTGTCTGACACTTTTAACCAATAAAGAGTCGGCCGTGTGAACCAATGTCCAAACAACAGTTGTTTTGTAATGTGAACAATTGAAGGGGATTTCATAATTTATGGTTGGATTCATTATTGAGAAAGAAAATTGTGGTTTTCCAGCGAAGAGAATGGCTTAAAGGCATGGTGTCCTAACGAATTTTGATTACAGTTTAAATTTCCATTGGCTAAGTCTATAGTTACGTTTTCCAATTGGCAACGCAGTACTAATTCTTAATGTCTTTTCAGTAATAAACACGGTGGAGAGTCTTTTGTTAACCCTGAACCCTTGACTGACGGTACATAGTGCCTGCTAGACGTTGAACCCAAATCCCAGTTAATGAAACGTCCTATTCTAAGCACGAAAACAACAGCACCAGCTGTCATACTATTGATAGGATTTTCAAAAACAAATTAAAACCGTTATGCACAACAAGAAAAAAATTGCGGTTTTATAATCCAAATTGCTGCAGAAACACTAACGTATCTAGGTATAAACAGAAAACGTCGAAAATAATATTTTATGAGGTCAATTAATGCAGCCAAAGAAAAGATGAAGCCTCAGGCACCAAAATAATTAGGAAACGTTTTCTCGTTAGATAAAGAAACTATATTAACTTTTATTGGATTAATTTATAACTCGAGGTTCAAAATTGAAAATTTTGGTGATTAAGGCTTGATGTAGTAACGGTCACTTGGATGCGGTTTTCTCGAGATTACTATTACAGGTAATAAAGAATCTGGAATTTGTTGTCAATTTTCCAGAAAAGTTGAGCCTAAGAAGATTAAAGAGATTTGCGGATTTAACGGAGTGGAAAAGCTTGTCAATAGGGAAACATATGTAGGCTATACAAGTACAAAAACTGGGACAGACCTTTTGTTTTGATAAGATGACGTCACATTTTCACATTGTTTTAGAACAAAAGACCAATGTCCTATAAAATACTGTGCACATTTGTAAGGACTATTTCTTTCTATGTTCAGCACAGTTTAGTTGGGGTTCTTTGGAAAACAACTGAGGCTGATAAATAACGCCTTTAGGGGCCGGCGTAAAAGAGCCGATAAGATAGTGCTTTATTGTAGGAGGCAGGTTTACTCTCTCATTAATTCTCTCCTTAGCGATCTCTTCCTCTCAGCCACTAAACAGGCATAAAAGCATAGAAAATAATGTTATGACTCACCTCTGCAAATTCATATGCGCATTTTTCTATCAAATCTTTTTCTGCCCATACCTTTGATCTAGGGCCAACGTCTCTACAAGATAAATATCAAACATAACAGTGATTGAAGCAGAGCGGCAGACATCACCAATGCTACTAAAAAAAGTTACAGAAAATAGAAGACTTCGTTCACGCTGAATGTTGCTTTAACGCTGAGTGCTTAAATATGATGTCATATAAAAATATGACATTTTTTCTGGAAATTAACTTTGACTTCACAACCTAAAAGCGCCCGATGAAATACTATGCAAAATCAGCGAAATGTGTTAAAAATTTGTGTGATATGGCCAAAGAGAGATTTGAAATTTGCTAACGGAAAACTATTATTTTGGCTTGGTTCATAAAGTTTCGAACAGAGACCAAATTAAAGTAATTTGATGGGGAAAAATATATTGTAATGTTGCCCTATCTCAGTAAATATTCAGCACAGTTAACTGATTTCGTAAACTTCGAGTTATTTCGTGACAATCTTTCTAAAAATGGGATTTTATGACGTCATCGTTTAAGAAATCTATTGTTCCTGTAAGCAAGAATGAAGTTGAAGTAACATGTGTGGGTCTGAAATGTATTCAAATTAAACAAGTTGGGCAAGTAAAGTAGCTATGGTTTGAATCAACAATAAATGTTCTAAAATTTGTTTTTCTTTTCGGAAATTCTACTACTGAGAACAGAAATTCTTATAGGCGTGGCAGAGATCGACTTACCTTCCTTCTAATGAACCTGCAACCAGTGCAAGTAAATAAGATGGTATAGCAGTCTAGGAAAAATGACAGAAATTAACAGCATGTAAAATCTAGTAAAATGTAACAAGCTGTATCATATATGATTTAAATATGAATAAATATGAACAACCATTGATTCTTGCTTGGTTCCAAATAGACATGTTCTGTACAAGAAAATGTCACTGAAAGTGAAATCTGCGGCAGATAGATGTTATGAAACTCAACCACAGAGCAAATAGAGATTCTAAATGAAAATTTTACGAAGTTATGTAGTTGATAAGTATTTGATTGATGCAGTGGCCAGGGCAGCATTTGCCACTGAGCATCCAGTGGCCCCAAAAAATTTTCAGACGTTTTCAGTGTCATTGGGTTTTTCTTACACGTGTTTCTTAATAATAAGCAAAAAAATTTCCGAAGAACATAGTTCCACAAGGTGGGTGAGATAAATTAAACAAGATAACTACCTAAAGCTTTCAGAATGGATCATAGGATGGTCGATTGTGCTTAATTGATAATCTTTGGGGTTAATGTGATATCCCTCCCTAGGGAATCATCGGGGGGACCTTTTACAGACAAGATAAAATACATCATTGTACCTTATACAATACAAGGCAGCAGCCCCCTAGAAATTTTGCAGGATGTGTTATTAAACTTGTTCAGAAACTGCATGTAAGCAGTTGGGGCACCAATCAGATCCTGTAAAACATTTGGACTCACATTTCCCATTTCCTTAAAATTTGAGAATTCACAATCCTATACAAACTAAAAAAAGCACCCTCTCATCACAACCTACAAAAATCATCCGGATGCAAATTGAAATTCTTCTGAAAAAGGAACATGACCCACACTTTAATACACATTCATTTGTCTTAATGTCTCATAAAAGGCGATCAACAACTGTTTGTTGTTTTTCAAATCAGGCTATTGTCACCTGCATCCATCCATGTTGCTAATGCTACTTACTGTTCATGAAAGATAACTCTGTCCACGCAAAATTCAAATTCTTATGACAAAAATAGATGATCCACACTAAAGTACACAATCAATTAGTCTTAATGTCTCTTAAAAGACGATCAACAACTGTTTGTTGTTTTTCAAATCAGGCTACTGTCACCTGCATCCATCCATGTTGCTAATGCTACTGTTCATGAAAGATAGCTCTGTCCATGCGAAATTCAAATTCATATGACAAAAATAGATGATCCACACTAAAGTACACAATCAATTTGTCTTAATGTCTCTTAAAAGACGATCAACAACTGTTTGTTGTTTTTCAACTCAGGCTATTGTCACCTGCATCCATGTTGCTAATGCTACTGTTCATGAAAGATAACTCTGTTCCCGCAAAATGCAAATTCTTATGACAAAAGTAGATGACCCACACTTTAATACACATTCATTTGTCTTAACGTCTCTTAAAAGGCGATCAACAACTGTTTTTTTCTTCAAATCAGGCTATTGTCACCTGCATCTATCCATGTTGCTAATGCTACTGTTCAT